AGTGCAATGGGACTTCCGACCCATCTGATTAAAAAATAATTTAATTTATCTGCAGCTTTTGAGCTTTATTCAAAGAAAACTCACCAATTCAGATAAAAAAACTTTAAAAAGCTGGATAAAATTAATTTTGTTTTCACAAAAAGCTAAGTTCACTTATGTGTAACTATTATATTGAGCAATTTTATTTCTGAGAACTCACGCAAAACTGACACAGGCATTAATTTGTGGAATCACATGCTTCATTCTCTTAGAAAGGGCGATGCCTTATGATCTTAATTAAACCTACAGCATAACTAGTCGCATACAGCCCATAAAGTTTTTTAAACTGTTGAGAGTACTAAATTTTATCGTGTAACTGTTATTTTGAGCAGGTGTGTATATACATACTATAGTGTGTTCCATTTTAACAAAAACGAACTTCGCCTGACTTGGCTCACTTTTATATCAATGGATGTATATATGTATACATACATACAAGTCGTAACTAACTGATATCTGTTTCTGATAAATATGCCAAAAATGCGGGCGCATGTGCGTTTGCCTGAAATAAATTTACATATGTATACACATATATGTATGTAATTACGTTCTAGAACTCAACACAACTAGAAACGCAAATGCTTTAGGGTTGAAAGCATGCGAGACACTTGCGCCCCTCCACGTGCACAAATTTCACGTCAACTTTTTCGTTTCAAGTGTAATGAATGAACGAAACTAGAGGACGGGAAGTGGGGGGAACGCGAAAACCAGTAACAAAACAAAGAATGCAATAAAGTTTAACAAAAAGGCAAATAGAGGGAAACACACATACAACTATATCCTGTGCATACATATATGTGTGTATATGTGCATTTCGGGCGAGATATTAACTAGTCTAATTGGGGGTGGAAAATATACAAGTGACTACGCGGAATGTTAATGGAAACGTCAAACGGGGTTGGATGGAAGATTGCATGACAGACTGGAAAATTCGACGCGAAAAGGGGGTTGCTGGGCGGACTACGCGCACTTCAGCAGAGCAGACGGCTGACAGAAGTCGGGCAAGAATGGAGTAATACGGACGAACTAACGAGCTAACGAGCTAAGGAGCAAGTGAGCGCCGAGTCGATAAGTGTTCGTGCAAGAATAAAATCGAATGAAAATAATTTCATTGAAAAAGCTATATTTACTTATACACTAAGTCTTTGGTTTAATTGAAGTTGGAAAATAAAAGTGCAATGTCGCGTTTACAGTACTCAATTCTTATGAACATCATATATATGTATGTATATGTGAAAAATTAAAAAAAAAATCTAATAAGTTGTAAGCACTGAAAAATTGAGTCGGACGAGAAAATCAACCCCAGAAGTTAAGAAAAAATCACCACCACATATTCGATACAAAAAAAGTTCAAACATACCCAGACTTACCAAAAGTTTACACTGCCTGTACTACCACCATCACCAGCAAACAACTTCACAGACAATACAAATATTCAAGAAAACCTTATGTCTGCAGTAACAGCAGTAGAGCGCAGTCAGCTTTCAACACTGTGTGCTAAACAAGTCTAAAATTTCGTCATTCAGAAAATTTAGTTTCCACATTGTCAGCTCGACCGCTTCTAAATCGGGTTCGCATTCCAGTCCGCACGCAAACTTCAATCATATATGATTATCGTTTTGTTGTTATTGTTTCAATCGCTATGTTTATACTGTCAACGTCTAGTCCTGTATATACACGATCGATGGATCAATCCAAAGAATTCACGTCTACTTAAAGAAGCCGCTGAGACGTCCTCAGCTGCGACACGCAAGCTCCTGCTGGAGCAATACCATACTGGAGGCTTAGAGAGCAACAAACAGCCACGCAAACGAAACAATCTATCCACATGTGGTGGTGAACCAGATGGTGCTGGAGGCATTCTAGCTGAGGCTTGTCGTTTTTGTGCTAACAGTCCGCAGGGTTATTGCTGTCATCATTTTCATTTGCAAAAATTGGAAATACAGAAGGCAAACAAGCAACACCTACAGCAATCCAACGGCTACCTCTCGACTCAGAATCGACCACGCTTCTGGCAGCCCCTCTGCGGCGGCAGCATTTCGACGACGTTGGAGCAGACATGGGCGCAACGACGGCAGCAGCGTAAAGTAAGTCGAGAATTGAAGCGAAATTTGAAAAATCGATTGACTGTCACAACGTCACGACAACATCAAACACAACTACAGCAACAGCAACAACACGAGCAGCAGCAAAACCCAATGCAAAAACAGTATCAGCTTCAAAGGCAGTATTTGAGGCGACAGCAATATGAGGAGTTCATGAGGGCAAGAAACGCCGGCAATAATAGTAGCAGTAGTAGTTCCACTAGTGGCAGTCCATTGTGGGATACGTCCACATCAAATTCATCCAGCGGCTACCAATCACCCTTCGCTTCGGTGTACAATGTAAATGGTTCGCTCTCTGATATTGATACCACAGACTCTGGTCTAGCGACCTCCATAGAAAGTGTTGCATATTATGGTGTTGAAGAGGCGGGATCTGTCGAAGAGTTGTCTCCAAGTTTGGCTGTTGAATTAGAACTAGCGACAGCGAAGACATCCACAATAACAACAACCTACCTTTAAGTGACGAAAAACATAAAAACCACAGGTGAGTAAGTGCGCACATGCATACATACCTATATGCATAGGTATGTAAATAATATTTGTGTTCAAACTGTGACTTATCCGTGGAGTGAAATATGCTGGAATGATTTCTATTTGTTTTTGTCTTAGTCCTAAAATATTTATTACCTTTTGCTGCGGTAAGAAGTTCAATTGGGAGTGTTTCTCTTCAGTAGAACGTTGGAACACGTCCCTCATCTCCAAAGTTCTCTTGGCGTATTAGATTTTTGGATATGTTGAAAAAATATCAGAGTATAAAGAGAGTGTGTTTTTTCGGAATAATTCTCTTAGACATCTAGAACTCTCACTGCTTCAACTAGTAATCGGTCAGATAGCCAAACGGGCAGCAAGTTCAAGGTTATCATTTGCAGTAAGATCTCATGGAGTGATTCCACTCTCGACCTACCGCTTATGGATAATAGATACAATGAAGTGATACACCGACAGCTCGAAAACGTTAGAGAGAATTGATGCAAGTTTCGCAGGACCACGCACCAAACTCCCCATACCTGGGAAGCTATGTCTTTGCCTGAGTCGGAGCGTAGAGATAAACCTCCAACGCAACTATCGCAATGAACGTATATCCATACTTCGCGGTAGTTAAGCGGCATGTAAAGCGTTCCCTGCCATACGATATCAAACAGCTACTGGCGTAGAAGTGTACAGAACGGCGGAACAGTCTAAGAATCTGATCGTAACCAAGTGCACCTTATCTTGGTGCCCGGTCACAAAGCTATATCAGGGAATGAACTAGCTGACGAGCTCACAGCATCTACTAACATGTTAGGACTGGAATCCTTTATAGCAGTTGGTCCTCATACAACAAAGGAGCTGCTCCTTAAGGAGGAATGTTTAGGTAGGGAGAGGTATCAACAGCAACTCCAAGGTATGCGCCATGCGATGTTGCTAATCGGGTTTTAACAACGAAATCAACCTCCTAAAGGAAAAACTCCACCTACTTGTCGCATTCTACACTGGCCATTGTAAGCTCAAGAAGCACTTATGTAACGTGGAACTAGCTTCTTTGGCAAATTGCCGGTTCTTGACTGCACAGCAATGTGCAGACGTAAGATAAAGGCCCTTAGATCTATGTTTTCAAATAGCACCAAACAATGTATTGGAATTCATGAATGTGCTGGGGCTAAGTGTCTAATTGTGACTTAGGAGAGGAACGTAAGAGGATATAATATCTATAGGTCGCAGTGCATACGCCATTTATTTATTTATCTATCTATCTACGTAAAACACATGCAGATTCAGGATCCGATCGCAGTTCCGACCAACAACGAAAATCTCTTCGCAATCCCGGTCGACCTTCAGCAGTCAATGGCAAATCTTTCTTGCGTAGTTTTGCTATAAGTATTATATACATGTATTATTTTGAAGGATCGTTGAGCTTCATTTTTCACGCGCTTTAGAAGAAAAATAACTTGCGACACTCAAACAAGCTTCTAGGCTTTGAAACCCAAAAATTATTGACTATGCCCGAGGCGACATTCTTCCGTTTTTAGCCTTTTAAGGTTCGTATGAATCTTTGATCTTGATTTCTTTAATTTGGTTGAAGATAGGTTCTCATGCGAAATTCTGCTCGGCAATATGTTGTGCTCGGGCATAAGTTGCCGATAAACCCAGCAAATAATTTTTATTATTTGAGCACACCAATTATTTTCCATCAACGAAAATGTTTGTATATATGGGTGTATGTACGAATGATTGAAATATTTTTGTTTCCTCAAAATCGTGTTTGTCGGTTTTTTTATTTTGTTTACTCATATCCAACGAAATATTTTAGTAATCATTTTTAGTAAATATATTTTATAAACTTTCTCACTTCAACTAGATACAAGAACGGCAATCTTATTGGTACCTTAAACAATACCTATTAGCAGTTAACCGGCAACAGGCGAACAGAGAGAATTGCAAATATCGACAACCAAACAGACACCACGACACAAAAGGGTTCTCGAGACAAAGGACTTGTGCCGAGTGGGTCAAACGTGTAAGATGTGTTGACACTGATACCAGATGAGTGTGTATGTAACGAAACGTTTACCGTTATACAGGTGCAATTGAACAGGGCAAAGTGCTTTTGCAGGTGTGAATTATACGCAACAACCGGAAGTGACCTTCTTTTCGCCAGACAACAGTGACTAGACTACTCAAATGCCAGAAACACAAAACCACATGCCGCTTGCAGGATTCTTGTTTCGTAGATGCTAGAAACTGTCAAGTAGTGACCTTAGTAGTAACAGTAGAACACTACAATAGTGCAACGTGGCACTGAGATTAATCGGAAATTTAACAATTTAATTACAAGTGTCTGGACGTACATACATACATAAGCTGTAGCGTGAAAGTAAAGGCAATAAAATGTCCTCGGATGACGACAATAATTCGCTAAATTCATCTGCAAAATCGGACGCAATTCTTAACGAACCATTAAATAGCGTATCGACACCGACGCTGAATTCATCGGCGGCCAATACAAATGCGGGTAATGGATGTGCTGGTGGTGGAAGTGGAAGTTCCTCTCAATTGGTGAGACGTAAAAAAGTCATGCCGCTGGAGCATGGTTGCGAGGACAATTGGACGTGGAGTAAACGGCATCGCTCGAAAGAAATAGTGTTGAGTGGTCCCAATAATCGCACAGTGCATTTTCATCCAAATTGGAGTAAAGGAACGGCGGGTGTACAGGGCAAGCGCCCGCTGAATAATGGCCGCTTCTATTGGGAATTGCATGTGTCGCAGCGTGTCTTCGGCACCAGTATTATGTTTGGTATCGGCACAAAGCAAGCACGTAAGCATTATACTATATTTTCATACCGAAATTCCCATCAATTCGAAATAGTATTCGTAAATCGTTAGTTTAAATCTCGTCAGAAACCAATGTTTTTAAAAAATTACTCGTACAACATCGCCTAGTATATATTTGATAGTCTTGGGCTCATGTCATCCGAATGGATATTTCCATATAAAGCTCCTCATTTTTCGGGCTAGGCGATAAGCAAATGCTTACTATATGTCGCAGTTGTTGGCTCCAATTACGTACAAGTAAAGAGTGATCCACTTCTAGGTTCCCTACTTCTTTCTTTGACATTTTTTTTTTTTTTGAACATTATCTTTTTCCAAAGTTGGCAGTGGATACGCCTATATGGTCCAACCGTTGAGTCCAATTTTAATGGATCCATTATTCCATCGGCCCACAAACCACATCAACTTGTTATTGATTATTATTTTTTCTGAATGAAATGCCAACTCCTGCATCTCTTTGAGCCAGAAATGAGGCGCATAGCTGAACAAAAATTGGCTCGAAAACGTCGGGTCTTCTTGCAACATTTCAAGAGCCCATAGCGCGGAGCGATGTCGGTTTTAAAGCTCGAACGGCTCCAGTTCTTGCACAAGCTGTATAATAAGTCAAGTCGGTCCATACGTCGGACCGAGTTGATGCGCACAGTGCCGAATCGATTCTCCGCTGTCTTCGTACCTTCGTCTCAGCTAGACCTTAAAGAGCTTTGAGCTCTCTTTCCCTTAAAATTTTTGAAGTTTTTCGGTAGTTGTCCCAATGAAAATTTTAATTTTTTCAAAATTGCAGGACTACACGCCAACTCCTTTCGGAATATGCTTGGTGAGAATGAACATGGCTGGGGTCTATCGCACAAGGGTGTGCTTTGGCACAAAGGTGTAGCGCTGCTGTACACTAAACGTTTCAAAGAAAATCACCCCACAGTTATAGGCGTGCTCTTCGATGGAATCGAGGGTACGCTCAGCTACTACAAAGATGGCAAATGTTTGGGAGTAGCTTTTAGGGGTTTAGATAAGGTAAGCAAAAATTATTGAAGATCTTAATTTCAATACCTTTACATTTGTATTAATCAATACAGATCAAAGAACCGCTATATCCGATTGTTTGCTCTACTGCTGCGAAAACTGAAATGACACTAAAATGTACACGGCGGGATTTTGTAAATCTGCAAGATCGTTGTCGAGCCGAAATTATTAAGCACGTCAAGACGAGAGAGGATTTGGTAAAATTGAAATTGCCGCCACTCATTACGCAATATTTGAGCGAAGTGGTGAACGATGTGGCGCCACTGCGTCAAGTGGACAACTATGACATTTTGTGCGATTTTTAAATTGTAACAACTAACATTGCGTAAGTGGGACTTGGAGTAATACAAAACGAACGGTGGTACTAACGTGTGTGTGTGTGTGTGTATTTATACAAATTAAATATTGTAAATATTGTTTATATGTATATGCGTCCCTTTTTGCTGGAATTTTTGAACTAATTTGTAAAACTGCTTCAAATCACTCTTATCAGCAACAAAGTTATGAGGACACGTTATCGGCGGTAGTTCAGAACGCAATTCGATGTACCATTTTTTCATAAATAATAAAATAATCATTAATATTAATTAATAATAATTAATCATGTTAATGAGAGATCTAAAAAACTTAAACATGAGAGATTCTTATGATCGCTAAATAGTACCATCTTCAGCCTTGTAACGTTCAGCCACTTGTACGTTCAGTACATATGTACGTAAATGGTTATTGCCAAAAGGCGTTTAAAATCGCTTTTCTACTTTGAATCACAAAGCTCAACGCGGAAATAACGTAAATAGAATGTCAATGCATAATTTAAGGCGCATTCAGTAATTTTTCTAAATTTTTTAAATTATTTTATTTATTAAAATTTGAGTTTGACTTTGATTTTCATTAATTTCTAAAGAGAAATATTGTTTAAAACAAATGAATAACAAGAATTCTTAACAAATGTAATATAAATCTTAGTGCATAATTTCATAAACCGTGAAGTCCGCCGTGCCATCGCACTTACATTGCAAGATATACATATGTACATACATATGCACTTGTATGTAAGCAATTCTGTCGATCGATTATTTGATTATATGGTATCCATCGATTGTATGGTAAATTCGCTACTGAAACACACATCCAATTAAACACGGAAGTGTCGCATAAACTTTTTTATTGAAGTTTGTGTACTGTCAAGTCAACAAATTGTATACAAACGTGTGCATGTACATACATACATATATAGTATTTGAAGCTTGTAACTACATACATAAAAGCTAGTCACTACAAATAAATATTAGATGTAAACAAAAACAATAATTAGACTTGCATTTATTATCAAAAAATAAAACTTAGGAAAACTTGAATGCAAGCGTAAGAAATTTCGTTGAATAGGCGAAACTAAGGCATGAAGAAATGAATGATGACCAATAAACGTTTGACAAAAATTTAAAAAAATATTTAAAATTAAATATAGGTATATAACAAAATGTAATCTATTAAAGATATAATTTTTTTATATTTGATGTGATTTTTCATATTTTTAATACGTGTTAGATTTTATATATTTTTATCATTAAAGCAGTTTCAAATTGCACTTTCAATGACATCTAATTCCAAATCACTTTTATTTCAATTAGTATTATTATTATATTTTTCTCTTTGCTTGTAAATACACGTTTTTTTTTTTTTTGTTTTATATTATAATATAGTTATTTGGAATCGATATATACATACATATGTCATGTCACATATGTCGCTGTCATATATGTCAGCGTAAAGAGCTGAACCGTTTAGTCATGTCCGTCTGAATATACGCGAATTAGTCTCCCAGTTTTTCAGATATACCAACCGGCCAATCAAAATTTTGTTCTTGTAAAGAAACTTGGTTTACTTTAAATTGATTTTTTAAATTAATCGAAAAGCATTTCGATAACTTTTGTTTATTTGACGTTTGTCTGCCTATTCCATATAAAAAAACTTAGCGTAAAATTATTTAAAAATACAAAGGCCTATTCGGTGCAATATTGTGATAACTTGTAAGATCGTATTAGTATACATTTACATTGCGGTTAATGTTCAGTTATTTGTAAATTGTATACAAAGTAAGTGTTTAAGTAAATAAATATATAATATTATTGGTCCTTCTTTGTAATAAGTTTGCTTTTTAAACGAACTTTTTTTTTTCTTATTGAATAACTCTGTTACTGTGTTGCTTTTTATTTTGTTCATTTCAGTTAAAAAAATGTCCGCCTTTCCTAAAACTATTTAAAACGTTTTGCAAATATTCAAGGCTTTAATATTGAAGAATGTAAATGACCGAAAGCGGAATTGGGTGAATTCTAGTCATATAAGTTGTTGCACTGCTAGCGCAAAAATAAAAGTGCCATCGGCAGTCAGCAATTTTAGAAAATAACTCTAATTAGTTAAGTAATCTGTTCAAATGTGAAAAATATTTAACAACACCCATTATAAAGCTATTTATGTCTAATAAAAAAAACTATGTGTGTCTAAATAAGCGGGAAATCATCTTAATTGTGTTGAAAGCAATCAGGTGGGTACAGGGTGGCTGATTAATTTTACTACATTAAGAAACTCAAATAATTTTTTTCAGTGTATGGAATTCATTTTGCTTTTGTTCATGTTAAAGCTCATTGAATTTTATTAAATATAGCTTAATTTGTTTTAAAAATAATGGAATTTAAATGCCCCCCCCCTGCTCGTTGATGCATGTGCAGCATCTTACCAAAAAGTTGTTCATTGCTGCTTGGAGAGTTGAGACACAAATAGCCCCAATTGTTTCTCGAATAGATTGCCTTAGTTCATTCAAATTTCTTGGTTTTGCTTTGTAGACTTCCTGTTTGCAATAACCCCACAAGAAAAAATCAGGTGCAGTAAGGTCAGGCGACCTGGGTGGCCAACGGAATGTGGAGTTTCTGGATATTAGCTTATTGGGAAAGTTTCGTCGCAATTCTGTCATAACAGGTTGGGCTATGTGAGGAGCTGCACCATCTTGCTGAAACCACACAGAGTTGAAAGAAATTCTCATTCAGCGTAATTCTGGATAGAAAAACTCTCTCAACATGCTCAAGTAACGGTCTCCAGTAACCGTAACGGTGTGACCGTTTTCTTCGAAGAAGTAGGGAGCGACAATGCAGCACACTGTGACACGAAGTGGATGCAATTCCATCTCATGGAGTATCTGTGGGTTGGAAGCACTCCATATTCTACAATTTTGCTTGTTTATGTTGCCGTTTAAATCGAAATGAGCCTCGTCAGACATGAAAAGACAGTTCAGCATGTTTCCATCCCCTTCCACCATTTGAAGCACTTTCTGGAAAAATTCCAAGCGAATCGGCAAGTCTGCAGCGTTCAGTTTGTTGGCCATTTGAATTTTATATGGGAATAAGTCCAAATCTTTGTGCATAATTGACTGTAATGACTGTCTGCCTGTCTCTTATACACATCTAGATGTGTATAAGAGACAGGTTTCCATCCCCTTCCACCATTTGAAGCATCTTCTGGCAAAATTCCAAGCGAATCGGCAAGTCTGCAGCGTTCAGTTTGTTGGCCATTTGAATTTTATATGGGAATAAGTCCAAATCTTTGTGCATAATTGACTGTAATGACTGTCTGCTTACACCCATTTGAGCAGATAAGCTTCTTGTCGAAACACGTCAATTGCTTTGTATGGCAGCAGCTATAGCAACGATTGCTTCCTCCATTCGAACTGAAGGGTTTCGATGGTAAGGTCTTCTGTTGACTGTCCCATGCTCAGCAAAATTGTTTACAAGTCTCATTATTTCCCATCTGCTCGGAGGATTGCCGCTAAAGGTGCGCTCTCTTTAAATCGAAACTACGGACTCCAGTGCGTGATAGCGGCGGACAATCCAAATTCTTGTTTCAGTGTCCCAGTTATCCATTTTTCTTAAATGTAAAAGTCAATCTGCAAAATAAAAATTAACCAGATTCATTAAATAGAAAAAAATTTATTTAATTTTTTTTCGGTAGCGGCTTTCATCAGCCAACCTGTAAACTAAAAGATCAAAGTCAACTTGTTGTAGGAAAACTTTTTTATTTTACGAGATATTTTCCGAAATTTTTCACGGATTACTGAAGGAACTTCGAGGCATAGTCCGAGTTGACTGTCCTTGGCCGGTTAAAAATCCGGGTCCGTCCCGTTTACTTAGACTCGACTATCCTGAGACTGGACACATATTATTATCTAAGGTATCGTTATAATCTCCGAACAAATTGTTTAAATCGGACCGCTACAGTATATAGCTGCTATACCAACTAATCGACGAAATCAAGTTCTTGATTGCATTCTTTTGTATGTGCGAAGAGTACTACAGCTTCAGTGCAACCGGTTACTGGTTTTTAGAAATAAACACAATATAGTGGTGGTGGTGAATTTATTGATTCTTATTACTGTACAATAAATACTTAGAAAACTCTATTTTACATACCAGTAGGTGGAGGAATAATAAAACTACAATAATTAATTAATTATAATTACGCATATACTTTTCTAAACGAAAATCTAAAACACAATTTGCTATTGTACATTTGGGCAAGCGTTTGGAGTTGCTAAAATATGGCATTAAACGCAAATTTTATTAAAACCGCTGTTTAATTTGTCCGCTTATAGTTCGTCAAGGAAATGATTTATATTCTGTAAATGATCGCCATAATCCGTAGCTTCGCTGCCAACGAATGTGTCGTAATTGTTTAGTATTTCCAAATAGCTTAAGCGATCGTCATGATCTTCATCTGTCGATACAAATAAATGATCGACCTCATCCGTAGCTATAGCCTCGCTATTCGGCACCACCCAGTTGAGTACTTCATTACCGGTTAGTAGACCATCCTCATTTTCATCCAAATGATCGAAACGATCTTTTTCTTCAACTAACCATTCGCGGCTACGATCTTGTCCTGCACTGCCAATATATTCTGCATAATCTATTTCACCATTATGGTTGGTATCTTTCTCCCGTAGCGTGTGTTCCAATACGATTGGTAACATTTCTGGATGTTCTTCTGGTGAATAGAAAAGCACATATTCTTTTGAATCCAATGCGCCATCTTTATTCAAATCTGCTGCATTGAATAGCTCTTTATCTGATTTAATCATTTCTCTCTCTTCATCGTAGCTATCAAAATCAATTAATTCCTTTTTTTCGTCTTCATTTTCCATTTCGAAAGTATCTTTAAGGTATTCCTTCCATGTGACCTTTCCATCACCATCCACATCGATTTCTTCCAAGCGATCCGCTGCTTCCTCTTCACCAAGTTTTCTGTTTTTGAAATTGATATTAATTATTAAATTTGTTTTAGATATTATATATTAATAGGTTTTATTAATTTGTAAATAATTTGTTATTAAAGCAATTGAGTGCCTTAAGCGTGTATAAAGGGTTAGGGATAGTCAGAATTTTCCAACAAATTTAAGATATTACATACATAAATACATATCTTAGAAATATTTTCTGAACTTTAAGTAAATTCGACCAATGCTTTTTGAGTTTTCGATAATTAGCAATAGGTTTTCGGCGCTTTGGAACGTTCGTGTAAAACTTCACATGCCTTTTTTTAATGGTAACCACTGTAGCTCAAAGATCGCAAGGTAATTTCAAAAAAAATATTAAAACTTTTTGAAAACTAGAGCATGGTCGAAAGAAAATAAGCTAATTGTTGGTTTTTTCCCCGAATATCTGGAATACGCCATTTTGTTAACATAAAAAAGTTTGTCTGATTGATTTTAGGTAAATCTCCAAGGATTAAATATGGTCATCGCAAGGAGCTTCGGCAGAAAATGGAGCAACATAGCCATTACTTTAAAATTATTATTAATTTTTTAATTTTTAATTTTGTCGTCAAGCCGAAGCTTTATATAATGATGGATTGTACTTTTATAAAATTAATTATATACTGGGAAAAAAATTTAAATTGTCTGAATACACCTAACTACAAAGGTAATGAATAAAGATATATTGCCAAAAGCAGCTTAGAAAGCTTTTAACACAAAAATTTTACACACGTTAATAGTATTAAGCTCGCTGATCTACATGTGTAACATAATATGCAAATATGTACCCCTATTATAATAAGAATACACCAACGACATTACAGTGATATCGATAAACATATATACTATGCAAATTATGTAAGTTATTTTGAATTTTTGCCGGCAAGCGGAGGCAACTAGCACGTGATTGTCGTGATGTTTTAATATTTAAAGTAATATTTAGTGGTTTTTAGAATGAAGATAATGAAAGCATTAATCAACAACATAAAACTCACTTAAAAGACCTTAAAATCCAAGCTTTTAGCTCATGACGCTCAACAAAACCATCCTTATTTAAATCCATTAATTTTATAAGTACAAGCAATCGCTGTTTGGATTCCTCGGGTGTAAGTTTGTCGAATTCCTTTGCTTCTTTGAGGCTGCCTGAAGGAGGAAAGAAGAAAAACCGGTATACATAATTTTTAGTAAAATACAATTCTAAAGAATGTTATGCGGAAGTTTTTATCCCCATTATTTCTATTTAATAACTTATACAACATGTGTATGCATAAATAAATTGAAAATAACAGAAACACACATGTATAAACATTTGACACGTCTCCTCAAAACACTGGTGATGCGAACAGCAACAACAACAACAATCGTTGTGAGTTATAGGAAGCTAATTTATTCTTAAAGAATCTGCTCATAAAGCCAGCAAGGTATTGTTTGTCACATCTGCAGTTTTTGCGCATTTATATTTTATATATAACAATTTTATATTA